AAATAAAATGTTAAAAAGTGGATTTGGATTTGATTCACTTAATGTGTAGAGCTGCTGTGTTTATATTTTAGTTGATATTATGTTTATTTCATTCAAAATTATCAAAAATTTTACCAAAAAATACCTAAAAAAAATAGGCAAATGTTGCACAAAACTTTTGATGGGAAATATTATGGCTTTCAAAATGTTAATGTCCTAATTTTGTTTACTGTACAATACTTTATTTTTGCATGGTATTTTTTCTTCTTTTTTTTTCGCTGAAGGGATGATTCAGTGCAGATAAAATCCAGTGAATATAGTTTTTTTCTATATATTTTACATTCTACTCTATTAATTCCAGCAAAAGTATTTTACAGTAAATTGCACAGCACCCCTGGTATAAGGTCTTTATTTCTGATTTTCGATCAATGTTAATTTTTTTTTAGGTTTGCCATTGGTTAATATCAATCCTGGCGGGCTAGCTGAAGTTAAAGTTGGAGAAACTATATCTTTGGAATGTGTGGCCGAAGGTGATCCTATGCCATCGCTGCACTGGGAAAGAATGGGAAAACGCACAATGCCCGAAACCGTGGAAATCATTCCTGATGAAAGCAACACTGGAAGTGTGGTATTCCGTATAATGCATGCGTCCATGGATGATGCCGGCACTTATGTGTGCAAAGCTTCTAGTCCTGCAGGCCAAGTAGAGGAGAGGATAGTGTTGAATGGTACGTACAATTTTGGAATGGCGCCCTCATAGTCTGGAGTGAGAAAGATGCAACCTTACTCTTTGTAAAGTAAAATCAATTTGTCAGCTCCACTGCATGCAGCATGGTTATCATCATAATTATTTTAAAACTCTGAAAACTATTCTGAAATAAGATACAATTTCTAATTAATTGTAAATTAAAGCAAAATATAACCTTATTCAGACATATTTGTCTAGTAGGGAAAGAATAAAGCCATGATTTCTGACAGCTTTGTTCCAATCTTTGTTTTAATTTAATCAATTAATTTTTAACTCAGGATCTGTCACTATAGCAACTAGAATTACACCTACATTTTCATCACTAATACATTTATTAATTTTTCTGTACTAATGATTGTTTTGTAATATTGATTCATATTGTTGTCAAGATCCCTTTCACTACCAATTTGTCCAATGTCAGCTAAAATGGCTAATTTATCTAATGTCAGCCTCAGTAGCTAATTAGCTATATATTTTTGTCTGTAATGGCACGTTAGCTGCTTTTGTCTATAAATACTGTTTTGGAAAGACTACAGTTGAGTGTTTTGATCACAAAATTGTAGAATCAAGAAGAAAATGTGACAACTGTTACATCTGCACCAATCTCACAGTGAAAGAGACTGACAATTCATTTACTGTAATTTATGCATAAATTACACAACCATTTGAGTGCCAGATATTGTTCCCGCCCAAAATTCAATGTAAATATTCTCACATTTTGTAAAATGTTCACTAAATTTCATCATCATTTTGGTTCATACAGACAGTTTTAGATATTGCTCTTAGTTTTTGATCAAAAGGTTTGTCAGTTTTTCTCAACATTTCATGTTGGAAGGAGCAGACTACAAAATCATTTTGCAGATGGTGCCAATAAGTGACAATAGTGCTCAAAAGGTTAAGCATTGATTTTATTTTTAAAAAAATTGCGTTTCACTGCATGAAATATTCACAACTTTCTCGCAATTAATTTTGATTATTTGTGTTCAGTTTATCACAAAAGTAAAATTTACACTGGCTGTATGTTGCTTATTATCATTCTTTCATATTTAGTTGTTTCTTTGCTTGCCTGCATTAGTCATTTTTTTCTACAAATCACATGCTAAAATATATAGTTGGGACGTAAAGTAAAATATCTATATCATAGTAATATCTATTATATAAATAAAAAAAATAATTTAAATTTCTATTTTCACATATATGAAGGTTGCATTGAAAGAGTCCAGACTGATTTGTGCCCCAGTCCATGTATTGTACCGATCATTGAACCCCATCTTTCTTCATATTTATAATCAGGGCTGTGTTGCTGGAAACCTTCTGGTTGACGAACAGTCCTGTGGGAAATGATAGCAAATGATCTGCCTTAATTTATCAAAGGCCATTTGTTATTTGAATGGTTTCAAACTTCTCTTTACCATCAGATTATATGTCTCATTTGCATAATATGTTCAGATTTAATGTGTCATTTGCATAATAGTTTCAGATTTAATGTGTCATTTGCATACTAGGGTTGGACTTAGTGTGTCTTTTGCTTAATGAGTTCAGACTTAATGTGTCATTTACATAATTGGTTCAACCTTAATGTGTCATTTGCATAATATGTTCTAATTGCTACAATTACCATGTTTGGTGTTGTGCATGATTAGGATGTAGGTATGTTTGCTGTCAGAGATGGAACCCCATTACTCAAAGAACCACCTGTATCTTACTTCTGTATGCAAATATGATTCTATTAATCCTAAATCGGACGAGATCAGAAACAGGGATTTATAGATTCATGTGATCATTCATTTGTGACTTGTCTGAACCAATCATGTTCATTTGTGACTTGTCTGGACCAATCATGTTCATTTGTGACTTGTCTGGACAATTATGTTCATATGTGACTTGTCTGGACCAATCATGTTCATATGCATATCATTCATACCATAGTCTGGTATATGTTTCTAACCAAACCATTACATCACAGTTATTGAAGACATCGAGTTTGGACCACCAGAGATACGAATCGTACCAGAGGCATTAACGCTAGTTGAAGGTGACTTTGCCCAGATTACATGCGACTCACCAGGTATGAAACATCATATTCTCAATCGTTTGTAAGATAAGGATTTGCAACATACATATATATGGATGGTGATGGATGGTGATGTATGATGAAGATCCATTTCGGGAATTCCATGTATGGCTCAATCTAACAATCAACATTGACATGTTCAATTATAAAAACAGAAACAAGCGATGGATTTTTACCTGATGCAAAAAAGACAAAAAACACCTAATACACACACTGCAAATTCGCAAGAACTCTAGAAACACAATTCAATTATAAAAACAGAAACAAGCGATAGATTTTTACCTGATGCAAAAAAGACAAAAAAACACCTAATACACACACTGCAAATTCGTAAGAACTCTAGAAACACGCCTAGATATATACAATATGTATATTTCTTTTAAAATTGATGATATGTAGTACCCATTATTTTTTACAAATGCAGGATTGTCATGTGATTTGTGGATTGTGATGCATCTTGTCATATACTTTAAACCTGCCTGAACATAAAACATTGTATTTCTTCGTCTAATTATTGTGGACAAAGCTACAACACAGAATGTACATTTATGTTGCTTCAGCCAGTGCACACCACTGTACCATGTATTTCTATGGGCTCTGTGCAAGCTGCTGTGAGATGCCAATTAATGAGCCGGTGAAAACAGCTAAAGTTAAGAAAACAGCACTAATTCAACTTTGAGACAATCCTGAAAATTTATTTATGTTGCACCAGAGGTACATTACTTGGGGTTTGCAACTATGGTGACATGATACCATGCTAGGAACAATGCAAATGCCCAAGGTTACTGTGTGGTCCAGGTGGATCAAAATAGCTGCCCACGACGGATTACGAGAACTATATTTTCTGTACATTTTCGATGTATTACATTTTTTCACTATGATAGTGGCAAGACATGTTTTATTTTTTTATTACAAATCTTGAACATTGATATATGTCATGTCAGAAAGTTGTAGCACCAGTCTTGCTATCTACGAGAAGAGACTTGAATGGGATCTTGACATTATGTCACCATACAGTACTATGTACGTTGCAAACCCCAAGTAATGTACCTCTGGTTGCACATGTACATGTGAGCAAAATCTTGTTACACCGTTCAAGAGAGTTTTTGATCGCTGTTTTCACCGGTGATGGTGGTGACTATGCCCAGATGTTCACTCCCAAGAATAGACTTCATAAAGATGTAATTTACTTCAGTTTGTTGACTGCATTCAGTGTGTTTAATGTGACTGATTAAAAAAAACTTATGCATTTTATATAATAATACTTCCCCAAATATAGGTAATATACTAGATTTTACCGTTACTTGGCGTCGTGACGGTCAAGAACTACCTCCTCAGCATTCAGTGGAGAATGGTGTACTTTTTATACCATCAGTCAGCTCTGATGATGAAGGACGTTATTATTGTGTCGCTTCCAACGTGTTTGGTACTTCACGAGTAGCAACTACTGTAGTTGTCCAAAGTAAGTACAACATATGTTACAACCTTACCCTTGCAATAGCAAGTTACTACACAGACATGCAATGCATTATGGGAAAGATCCTCCCATCACACTGGAAACTTACTAAATTATATGTCAATTATTTCACAATGTTAGACTTCATGTCAATATTAATATACATGTATGGTGGAGCAAAATAATCTCACCATAGAAACTTGTAAAAATGACAAATTTTACCATAAGTTTTTCACTAAAGAAATTATTTGATAATCAACACATAATATGTGGTTATTACGAGGATACCTTAAAGTATGCACAAAGACAGTATAGCTGGAGTATCGACCGACGTGCGCGTACTTTGAGGTATTCTCGTAATAACAAATTATTATACATCTTTTCCCTTCAAGGATACATCATGGGAATGCCGAAATCCAAAATGTTTATAACAGAATCAGCAAACTGCTTTGTGTTGAATCCAGTCAAACACTGGTGGCAGCCATGTTTGTTTTTATTATTATAGGACGCTTACGTGCGTAATCATTCCATATTTGGATTTCGCATTTCCTTATATGGTAGGATGAAAATACCCCGTAAAATACCTCAAAATTACGGCACGCTGCAACTTATGGCGTTATGGTGACAGATGAATAATATTAGTGAACTTGACACGTAATCTTCAATTTGACTAAAACTTCCTTAATTACAGGACAAGCAATATTATAAATAATACATTCTCTACTAAATCAAAAGTTGTGTTCCATTTTATTGTTTTGAGTTCAAGTGTATTTATACCGTATCATCTCTGTAAATTTCAATATTACTGTCATGTTCACACAGGCCGTCCACGAGTCACAACATCTCCGTCCAGTGTAACCGTCCAACCAGGTCAGATTGTGAAAGTGCAGTGTATCGTAGAAGGTGGTACATCACCCATCACAATTGAATGGGATAGGGTAAGATTATTACAATCTATATATGACATACAACATCTATTGAATGGGATAGGGTAAGATTATTACAATCTATATATGACATACAACATCTATTGAAGTTATAGTGTAGCATTTGTGTTTCTCACTACCAGACTTTCTCACCTAAATTTTTCTGCACTTTTTTTTTATATGCTACAATATTTCTGGAAATGAACCCTAGTTTTGGAACCAACAGACAAAATTTAAGTCAATTTTTAGTTTTTACTCAAAAAATGTAGCAATTTTTTATTCATAAATTGAGAGGTTTTTCACTTTTGACTCCCAATTCAAGAGAACACAAAGGCTCGTACTGTACAATCGGACATAATCTGATTCGCAGTTTGCTGATCAGTTTATAATAATATTATAGCAATGTTTACTTCTAGCAGTTTACAGTTAGTTAGACAGGATGTCTGGAATGTACGTTTTCTGTATGTCTGTTTTGAGTGAAAAAAACTCAAAAAGGCTTATTTTCGAGAGAAACACACATACACACTAGTTTGAGGGAAAAAAGACATTTTCACACAATTCACACACACAGCTAACTAAAAATATATAACATGTAGGTAGTCAAATGCCATCTTCACTGTGAAATACACGTTTCAATATACCGGTAAATGCCATCAACCTACCGGTAGGTCTCATCAATAAGCTAACATGTTCACAAACAAAGACTGTGTATTGTTTTGATTATGATAACATGTTTAAAAAATTCAAATTCAAAATGGTGTTGTTTTTTTAATTGTTTATTCTTACCTATGCTGTTTACAATTAAAACAAGTTCACAAAATATGCTCCACCAATTACCTGCTTGAATTCCATCATTGTTGAGATGTCCGCTTCTTCACTTTTTTGTTTAGGTTGGTGGTCAGTTACCTCTAACTGCATCGGACTCGCATGGTGTTCTTCAGATTGCAGCAGCCAGCCCCATAGATGCCGGCAACTACAAGTGTATCGCTAGCAATGCTGCTGGTACAGTGGAAGCTGTAGCCTCCATCTACGTTGAAGGTATGTACCATATTACGAACAAATGCGCTTACGCTAACATCTTGCGTGTGTATACGTCTCAGCTGCTTCATTATCATATTTGTATTTTTTATGAGAAATTAAAATTAAGTAGCCAGAAGACAGTCTGTGTTTTACATGCTAGCTTTGAGACTAATTAAAGCAAATTTTCATCATTCTGCTTCTTTTGGAGATGTGGTTCTAAAAGAAAAAATTCAGTATCTTTAGACAATACTAATGTAACTGTACTAAAATATGTATTATGGCAATAAAAAGTTCATGTTATTCTCATCATTTGAGTGTAAATTTTGCTGCATATTCTATCGTTGTACATTCTCATGTTTATTTCTTTTTTTAACATAGTTTCCCCAACTGTGCAAGTGACACCACCTAAGGAGACCAAAGCAGTCGGCAGTTCTGTGGAGTTTCTTTGCAGTGCTACTGGTAACCCACCAGCTAAAGTTGAGTGGAGTAAAGAAGGTGGTAGACTACCCAACAGACACGCAGTACAAAATGGTGTACTCAGGTACTGTAATTATGAAATCTAAATACTCTAAACCGTTAAATTTTTGCTGCTATAATTTCTTGTGCTTTTATTAGTCCCCGTTCGGACGCAGTCCGAAAACGGGGACTTATGTTTTGCCCTGTGTGCGTCCGTCCGTCCGTCCGTCTGTGCGTCTGTGCGTCCGTGATCACCTGTATCTCGAACATGCATGGACCGATTAAGTTCAAACTTCACTCATACATCACACCTTATATGGGACATATGCACATGCATTTTTA